GGTAGCTTAAACATTCTTTTCTAATTTTGCCACAATTTCAGACTTTTGGAATAGTTGCAAAAATAGTACAAAGAATTCCCATGTACCCTTTACCCAGATTTTCCAAATGTTAACATTTTACCATGTTTTCAAAGACCTCAGAAAGGTAAAAATTTGGTTATCTACATAGAAATAAATCACCTGAAGAAAGACATAGCATAATTAGTTTAAGAGAGCAGTTACTCAAAGGAACAAAGGATCTTAGAATCAGAAGCTCTCAAGTTGGAGAAAGACTTCTATAATAGAGTAGGACAAAATAAGAGAAAAATTTTACATAAATAATTACATTCTTTTTACATGTAGCCATGGAGGTCATATTTCTAGATACATATGGTTGACATTTTTTGGTAAACTCCAGATGTGTAGTGCTGTATACTGTTACGTGATAGTCAAATTTTAAATGTGTGTCTATGTTCGTGTGGGTTTGTATTAACATGAGAGATAGTGTACAACTAAAGCACTCAGCGTTTCATTGTACATAAGAATTTAAAATACATATGCCTTTGACCCAGCAGTTTACCTTTAAGAGTTTATTATTCTTTAAAAAAAGAATTTATTTTTTTAAATAATCATCAAATAGTATGCAAAAATTTTTAATAAAGATAATGCAGGCTAGTTATAGTATTCTGTATGATTAGTCACTTCGTTGCACAGAAATTACACAGGTGTAAAGGGTAATTTAAAAATTTAATTGGGAAATATACATAACAATAAATTTCCCATCATAATCACTTTTAGGCATACAGTTCAGTAGTGTTAGGTACATTCACACTGTTGTACCTAGTCTTCAGAACTCTTTATCTTGCAGAACTGAAACTCTGTACTCCAGCCCCTGGCAACTACTAGTCTTCTTTCTGTCCATGAAAGTAGGTACTCTAGGTACCTCATATAAGTAGAATCATACAGTATTTGTTCTTTTTCGTGGCTGGCTTATTTCACTGAGCAGAGTATCCTCAAGGTTGATCCGTCTTGTGGCCTGAGTCAGAATTTACTTTTTTTAAAAAACTGGTTTTAAATAAGACTTTATTTTTTGGAGCAGTTTTAAGTTCACAGCAAAATTGAGTGGACATCCTGCACTGGAGTGGTACATTTGGCTCCATATTAACACATCATTATCACCCAAAATCTGTAGTTTACATTAGAGTTCCCTCATTGTGTTGTACATTCTATGGATTTGAACAAATATATAGTAACTTATATCCACCATTATTGTATCATAATAGAGTAGTTCCATTGCCCTGAAAATCCTCTGTGCTCTGCCTGTTCATCCCTCCCTTCCCCCGATCCTTGGCAACCTCTAATCTTTTTACCATCCCCATAGTTTTTTGCCTTTTCCAGAAAGCCATGTAGTTGGAATCATAAGTGTGTGGCCTTTTGAGATTGGCTTTTTTCACTTAGCAATATGTATTTAAGCTTCTTCTACATTTTCTCATAGCTTGAAAGCTCATTTATTTTTAGTGCTGAATGATAATCTATTGTCTGGATGCACCACAGTTTATCCATTCACCTATGGAAGGACATTTTGGTTGCTTCCAAGTTTGGGCAATTATGAATGAAGTTATAAACATCCATGTGCAGGTTTTTGTGTGGGTGTGAGTTTTCAACTCCTTTGGGTAAATACAAAGGAGGATAATTGCTGGATTGTATGGTAAGAGTATGTTTAATTTTGTAGCAGACTGCCACACTGTCTTCCAAAGTGGCTATACTATGTTGCATTCCCATCGGCAATAAATGAGTGTTCCTGTTGCTCCACGTCCCCAGCAGCATTTGGTGTCAGTGTTTTGAGTTTTAGATATTTAAATAGATGTACAGTGGTATCTCATTGTTTTGATTTGTAATTCTCCCATGAAATATTATGTTGAGCATCTTTTCATATGCCTGTTGCCATCTATATAACTTCTTTGGCGAAATCTCATCAGGCATTTTGCCTGCTTTTTAATTGGGTTCATTTTCTTATTGTTGATTTTTAAGAATTCCTTATTTTGGATAACAGTCCTTTTTCTGATTCATCTTTTACAAATGTTTTCTCCCTGTCTGTGTCTTGTCTTCTGATTCTTTTGGCAGTGTCTTTCACAGGGCAGAAGTTTTTTGTCTTAATGTAGTCCAGCTTAACGATTTTTGCTTTTATGGTTTGTGCTTTTGGCATTGTATCTTAAAAGTCATTGCCATACCCAAGGTCAACTAGATTTTCTCCTGTGTTATCTTATAGGAGTTTTATAGTTTTTCATTTTACATTTAGGTTTATGATCCATTTTGAACGAATTTTTGTGAAGGGTATAAGGTCTGTGTCTAGATTTCATTTTTTTGGTGTGTGGTTGTTCACTTGTTCTAGCACCATTCATTGAAAAGACTCTTTGCCAACTAATGTATTGCCTTTGCTTCTTTCTCACAGATGAGCTGGCTGTATTTATGTGGGTCTGTTTCTGGACTCCCTCTTCTGTTACATTGGTCTATTTGTCTGTTGTTTCACCTATATCACACTATCTTGATTACTGTAGCTTTATGGTAAGTCTTAAAGTTGGGTGGTGTCAGTCTTCTGATTTTGTTCTTCCCTTTCAATATTTTTTCTGGCTGTTTTAAGAATTCTTGGGTCTCTTGCCACTCCATGTAAACTTAAGTGTCAGTTTGTCGATATCCACAAAATAACTTGCTGGGATTTTGACTGGGGCAATGTTGAATCTAGAGAAGAAGAACCGAGATTTTGACAGTATTGTGCCTTGCTATCCATTAACATGGAATATCTCTCTCTATTTAGTTTTTCTTTGATTATTTTCATCAGAATTTTGTATTTTCTTTTTTATATAGATTTTGTACATATTTTGTTAGATTTATACCTTCGTATTTCACTTTTTGATGGTGCAAATGTAAATGGTATTGTATTTCAGATTCTGCTTATTCATTTCTAGCATATAGGAAAACAGTTAACCTTGTCCCTGCAACCTTGCTGTAATTACTAGTTCCAGGAATTTTTAATTGATTATTTTGGATTGTCTACTTCAACAATCATGTCATCTATGAAGAAAGACAATTCTATTTATTCCTTCCCATTCAGGGTACTCTATTTCTTTTTAAAAATTTTATTGCATTATTTAAGACTTATAGTACAATGTTAAAAAGAAGTGGTGAGAGGAGATTTTCTTGTCTTTTTCCTGATCTTTTTGTTTGTTTGTTTGAGACAGTCTTGCCCTCACTGTGTCACCCAGGCTGGAGTGCAGTATTGTGATCTTGGCTCACTGCAACCTCCACCTCCTGGGTTCAAGTGATTCTCCTGCCTCAGCCTCCTAAGTAGCCATTTTTTTTGTATTTTTAGTAGAGACGGGGTTTCACCATGTTGCCCAAGCTAGTCCTGAACTTCTGACTTCAGGTGATGCACCTGCCCCAGCTTCCCAAAGTGCTGGGGTTACAGGCATGAGCCGCCACCCCCAGCCTTCTTCCTGATCTTAATGGGAAAGCTTCCAGTTTTTCACAATTAAGTATGATGTTAATAGTAGGTTTTTTGTCCTTTATCAGGTTGAGAAAGTTCCCCTCTTTCTAATTAGCATTTTCTTCTTTTTTAAGACTGAATAATAGGCAGTGTGTGTATACCACATTTTTTTACCCATGTGTTCATCAATGGTCACTTGGGTTGCTTCCACATTTTGGCTATTGTGAATAAAGCTACTATGAACATGAGTGTACAGACGGCTATTCAAGATCCACCCTGCTTTCAGTTTCTTGGTGTATATATCCAGCAGTGGAATAGCTGGATCATGTGGTAGTTCTATTTTTGATTTTTGTTTTAGGAATTAATATGTGTAATTTTATATACAAGGACAAATTTTTATACTGCATTGATGTTTATTTTATAATAGCAAGAACTTGGAAGCATATTTGATCAGCAGGCAACTGGCATATAAATTATGACACATGCATATAATAAAGTATTATGCAGCTGTTTAAAGATATGGTAGATCTGTATGTTTTGACATGTAACAATGTCCAGATATATTTTAATGTGAAAAGGACAAACAATATGTATCGTATGAACCTGTTTTTATTTTAAATCTATGTATGTATGCTGGAAATTTATTTTTCAAAAATAATGAACTTCTAGGGCGTCGGGGAGTGGAGATTATAAGTGTGATAGAAGAGCGAACTTTTAACCTTACTGCTTTATAAATTACTGTATCATTTTGGGGTTTACAAGAAGCACAGTTTTGATTTTTTTTTTTTTTTTTTTAGAGTCAGGCTCTGTTGCCCAGGCTGAAGTGCAATGGCACAGCCTTGGCTGACTGCAACCTCTGCCTCCTGGGTTCAAGCAGTTCTCCTTCAGCCTTCCAAGTAGCTGGGATCACAGGTGCCCACCATCCAAAAAAAAAAAAATTTTTTTTATTTTTATTTTTAATAGAGATGGGGTTTTGCCATGTTGGCCTAGCTGGTCTTGAACTTCTGACCTCAGGTGATCCACTCACCTGGACCTCCCCAAGTGCTGGGATTACAGGCGTGAGCCACCACACCCACAAGCAGCACAGTTTTAGAAGCAGAAAACCAATTTGAATTTTTGGGAAAAAGGTTGTTTGACCCTCACTTGTCTTTGACATATAAAGAAAATGTTAAGTATTTCAATTATTTACTAAGTGTTTTTATGCCCACAGGTCAAATGCTAGTCACTGAGATACCTTAAATATCTTTTTATTATTATATTTGAATGTCTTTTGATTATTAAGGGTATCTGTTGTTTTGTGATCTGAGGCGTAAAATTAGTACAGTGATTTCCATCAAAATGGTTTCATGTAAGGAACACCACTCAACCATTTTTATGTCGCATTTGAATAGTGCTTCCCATTTCCTGTGACTTGGTGTGGCACAGTAAGTAGTGAAATTGAAAGTTTGTCAAGGTTCCTGTGTTCTTGAAGAAAATATCTGTAAGCATTGTGTTATATTACACACTGATTCCTGTTTTTGCCTTTTTCGTCTGATAGTAGAACTTCATGGAGGAACACGGAGTGACCCAAACTGAACATATGGCTACCATAGAAGCACACGCAGTGGCCCAGCAAGTGCAGCAGGTCCATGTGGCTACCTACACTGAGCACAGTATGCTGAGTGCTGATGAAGACTCGCCTTCTTCTCCTGAGGACACCTCTTACGATGACTCAGATATACTCAACTCCACAGCAGCTGATGAGGTAACAGCTCATCTGGCTGCTGCAGGTAATGTTGTTTGGATTAGAAGCTCTTCTTTAATTTTAATTTTTTTTCTTTTGTTTTTTTGAGACAGGGTCTCACTTTGTTGCCCAGATGGGGGGGATCCAGTGATCCCCCCGTCTCAGCCTCTGGAGTAGCTGGGACTGCTGACATGTACCACGACATCTGGCTAGTTTTTGTATTTTTTTTTTTTTTTTTTTGAGACGGAGTTTCGCTCTTGTTACCCAGGCTGGAGTGCAATGGCGCGATCTCGGCTCACCGCAACCTCCGCCTCCTGGGTTCAAGCAATTCTCCTGCCTCAGCCTCCTGAGTAGCTGGGATTACAGGCACGCACCACCATGCCCAGCTAATTTTTTGTATTTTTAGTAGAGAAGGGGTTTCACCATGTTGACCAGGATGGTCTCGATCTCTCGACCTCGTGATCCACCCGCCTCGGCCTCCCAAAGTGCTGGAATTACAGGCTTGAGCCGCCGCGCCTGGCCAGTTTTTGTATTTTTTACAGTTACAGAAATCTCACTGTTTTACGCAGGCGGGCCTCAAACTCCTGGGCTCAAGTGATCCTTCTGCCTTGGCCTCCTAAAGTGCTAGGATTCAGGTGTGAGTTATCATGCCTGACCTTTATCACAGTTTTTTTTAAGCCTTGCAGTTATAACTTGAGCCTGTATTATACTGAGACTTGAGGCCTGGAATCACTTACTATTAGTGTTACGGCTTTGGTTTTATTTTTTCATCTGTTCCGCCCGTGTTTTGGCTTTAAACTAAAGCATTTATTCCATTTGCATTAAACAGAATGACTGACACATACTTAGATTTAAATTTACCTTCTTTTCTGTATACTTTCTCTTTACCCTACCTGTTTTGTTTACTTTTCTCTTTCTTGGCATTTTCTTTTGTAGTAATTGAAAATTTTGTGTTTTTTTTTCTTTTTTGTTAGTTTGAAAGTTACAAGCTTTTACTATTAGTGATACCTGTAGAAATTATAGCATACATCCTTTACTTACCAATGTTTTACAGTTGACTGCGCTCAGTGGCTCATGCCTGTAATCCCAGCACTTTGGGAGGCCAAGGTGGGAGGATCACTTGAGCCCAGGAGTTTGAGACCAGCTTGGGCAATGTAGTGAGACCCCATCTCTACCAAAAAAAAAAGAAAAAAAAAATTAGCTGGGTGTGGTGATGTGCTCCTGAGTCCCAAGTACTTGGGAGGCTGTGGTGGGATGACTGATCACTTGAGCCCAGATGTTTGAGGGTTGCAGTGAGCTGTGATTATACCACTGCACTACAGCCTGGGTGACAGAGTGAGAGCCTGTGTCCAGTTAAAAAGGAAAAGCAAGAAGTTGTCTATACTTGGTACTTTTAACCTCTACAGGGATAATACACATTTCTTAGAACACTTGAATTTCATGCACCCACCATATATGCTATTGTTGTCCTTTGTATTCATTTTTGTTATACAGTTGGCCCTCTTTATCTGTGGGTTCCACATCTGCACATTCAACCAATTTTGAAAAAAAAGTATTAGGGAAAAAACAATAAAACATAACAATATAATAATTAAAAATATTACCAATAAAAGGTCAATACAATATAGTAACTATGTATATAGCATTTACATTGTATTAGGTATTGTACTTAACCTACAGGTGGTATGGAAGGACATGCATAGGTTATGTGCAAATACTACACCATTTTATATCAGGGACTTGAGCATCTATACATTTTGGTACCCTTGCCCACGGGGCATTGGGGGAAGGGAGGGGAAAGTCAAGATCCTGGAACCAATCTCATGAGGATTTGAAAGGACAACCGTATTTTACACACCACAAGACAGTATTTTTATTTTACATGTAATGTTCATTTTTTTCCCCTGCATCTCCAGCTCGTCTCCTGAGATGGTTTTTCTTCTGCCTAAAAACACCACTTAGTATTTGCTTTAGCATGGATCTGCTAGTAGGAAATTCTGTTTTTGCTTGTCTATGAATATTTTTATTTAAACTTCAACCTTGAAGGATGTTTTCACTGAGTATGGAATTCTAGCTTGGTGGTTATTCTTTCCTCATATTGAAGGTACTGTTGCACTGTCTTCTGGATTCCATTGTTACTATTGAGAATTCAGCTATTTCATTCTAACAGCTACTCTTTTGAAGATTATCTTCCATATGACCCACCCCCTCTCCCCACTCAACTGATTTTTCTCTTTAGTTTTTGTGATATATTTGGCTCTGATTTCTATTTATTTATTCCATTTAGGATTTTTTGTACATCTTGACTATGTAGGTAGATGTCATTGATTCTGGGAAATCTTAGTTACTGATTTTGCTTCTGCTGCAGTCCATCTCTTTTCATTCCATGGCTTCACTTACGTTAGTCTTCCTCACTTGTATGTCTCTTACCATCTATTCTGTATGTGTCACCTTTCTGTGTACTTTCTTCTGTCTTTCAACTTGTGATTTTCTTCTTTAGCTGTTGTATTAATCTGTTTTCATGCTGCTGATTAGAGATACCCAAGATTGGGAAGAAAGAGTTTTTAATGGACTTACAGTTCCATTGACTGGGGAGGCCTCACAATCATAGTGGAAGGCAAGGAAGAGCAAGTCACGTCTTACATAGGTGGTAGTAGGCAAAAAGAGAGTGAGTTTGTGCAGGGGAACTCCTCTTTTTAAAATCATCAGATCTTGTGAGACTTATTCACTATCACAAGAATAGCACAGGAAAGATCTGCCCCCATGATTCAATTACCTCCCACTGGGTGCCTCCCACAACACATGGGAATTATGGGAGTACAGTTCAAGGTGAGATTTGAGTGGGGACATAGAGCCGAAACATATCATTCTGCCCCTGGCCCCTCCCAAATTTCATGTCCTCACATTTCAAAACCAATCATGCCTTAACCAACAGTCCCCCAAAGTCTTAACTCATTTCAGCATTAACTTAAAAGTCTACAGTCAAGTCTCATCTGAGACAAGGCAAGTCCCTTCTGCCTATGAGCCTGTAAAATCAACTTCCTAGATACAATGGGGGGTACAGATATTGGGTAAATACAGCCATTCCAAATGGGAGAAATTGTCCATAAAGGGCTGTAGGCCCCATGCAAGTCTGCAATCCAGCAGGGCAGTCAGATCTTAAAGCTCTAAAGTGATCCCCTTTGACTCCATGTCTCACATCCAGGTCACGCTGATGCAAGAGGTGGGGTCCCAAGGTCTTGGGCAGCTCTGCACCCTGTGGCTTTGCAGGGTATAGCCTCCCTCCCAGCTGCTTTCATGGGCTGGTGATGAGTGTCTATAGCTTTTACAGGCAAATGATGCAAGCTGTCAGTAGATCTACCATTCTGAGGGCTGCCCTCTTCTCATAGCTCCACTAGGTGGTGCCCCAGTAGGGACTCTGTGTGGGGTCTCGGACCCCACATTTTCCTTCCACACTGCCCTAGCAGAGGTTCTTCATGAGGAGGACCTGCAGCAAACTTCTGCCTGGACATCCAGGCTTTTTTATACATCCTCTGAAATCCAGGCAGAGGTTCCCAAACCCCAATTTTTGTCTTCTGGACACTTGCAGGCTCAACACCATGTGGAAGTTGCCAAGGCTTAGGCCTTGCAGCCCCTGAAGCCATGGCCCAAGCTCTACATCAGCCCCTTTCAGCCACAGCTAAAGCAGCTGGGATGCAGGGCACCAAGCCTCTAAACTGCACACAGCACAGGGACCCTGGGCCCAGCCCTCAAAACCATTTTTTCCGCCTAGGTTTCCAGGCCTGTGATGAGAGGGGCTGCTGTGAAGACCTCTGACATGCTCTGGAGACATTTTTTTCCATTGTCTTGGGAATTAACATTCAGCTCCTTGTTACTTATGCAAATTTCTGCAGATAGCTTTAATTTCTCCTCAGAAAATGGGATTTTCTTTTCTGTCCACATTGTCAGGCTGCAAAATTTCCAAACTTTTATGTTCTCCTTTTGTTATAAAACTGATTGCCTTTAACAGCACCCAAGTCACCTCTTGAATGTTTTGCTGCTTAGAAATTTCTTCTGCCAGATACCCTAAATCTTTTCTCTCAAGTTCAAAGTTCCACAAATCTCTAAGTTGGGGCAAAATGCCACTAGTCTCTTTGCTAAAACATAACAAGAGTCACCTTTGCTCCAGTTCCCAACAAGTTTCTCATTTCTATCTGAGACCACATCATCCTGGACTTTATTGTCCATATCACTATCAGCATTTTGGGCAGTGCCATTCAACAAGTCTCTAGGAAGTTCCAAACTTTCCCACATTTTCCTTTCTTCTACTGAATCCTCCAAACTTCCAACCTCTGCCTGTTACCAAGTTCCAAAGTCACTTCCACATTTTTAGGTGTCTTTTCAGCAGCACCCCACTCCTGGTACCAATTTACTGCATCAGTCCGTTTTCACACTGCTGATAAAGACATACCTAAGATTGGGAAGAAAAAGAGATTTTAATGGACTTACAGATCAACGTGACTGGGGAGGCCTCACAATCATAGCGGAAGGCAAGGAGGAGCAAGCCGCATCTGTATGACAGGAGTCAAACAGTGAGAGACCTTGTGTGAGGGAACTCTTTAGGACCACCACATCTCATGAGACTTACTTACTATCACAAAAACAGCACAGGAAAGACCTGCCCCCATGATTCAGTTACCTCCCACCAGGTCCCTCCCACAACATGTGGAAGTTAGGAGAGTACAATTCAAGATGAGATTTGGGTAGGGACACAGCCAAACCATATCAGTTGTGTTAAGGTGTTTTTGTGTGTGTGTGTGTTCTTTTGTTTTTTTTCTTTATTTATTAAGATGCTTTTAAATCTGTTCATTGACTTCTTAATTTTGATAATTGTTAACAGTTTAACCAAAACTACTAACCAAGTATTTTTTTGGAATTTCTAGTGTGTGTGTGTGTGTGTGTGTGTGTGTGTGTGTGTGTCCCCAATTTGCACTGAACAGTTTCCAGTAGTGGGAAAAAATTTTTTTAACAAATATGATTTTATAATTTATCTAGTAATTTGCTCTT